GGGGCGTAACCGCCACGCCCACTGGGGCCAGTCGGCTCCGCGAACAATAACTGTCTCCGCCCCTCCCACCTATTGCGTCACAATCAAAACAGTCCTTTAACTACAACTCCCAGAAGGCCTAGCGGCGGCGTGAGCCCAACTGCTCACTGCGGTTCCCGCACAACTACATATCCCAAGGGGCGTCGCGCGACGGCCTCTCCTCCACTGCGCAAGTGCGGAACTGCCCTTGTTTCCGGCGTGGGTCTGGGCTAGTGCGGCGGTAGTTGGGCTTAGGTCCCGCCCCGGAGGGCTTCTCGGTTTACCGTTTGGGGGATCTTGGATGTGCAGGTGGGGTAATAAGTTCAGGAAAGCAACTATCGCCTCCTTGGGACCTAGGCGGATTTCGTGTCTGGGTAAGCTGGGAAAAATGCGGGATTCAGAGCTGCGGTCCGGTATCGGAAATAACTTCCCATTTCTCGGCGTTTTCTAGTTCATGAAGTGATATTTTCCTCCAACAATCCCTGCTAGTCCCCAGAACAACACTTTGAGAAGAGTGTAAAGTGCCTCCAGTTGATAGCTGCGGGAACGGTTCAGAAAGGTTAAGTGATTTGTCTGAAGACACTACTAGTTGCCGAGCGGGGCCTCGAAATGTTGTTTTCTGAGTCCAAACTGGGTATTCTCTGGTTTGCATGTAGATTGCAGACGCCCTTTCTTGTTGACCAAGAGGGTTGGGGAGTGGGCATCTCTTGCCTTCTCTAGAGTATTCCAGTAGAGTGATGAAGGGAGGGATGAGCTGATGTGATCAAGTTTTCTATCTGCAAGTATAATTTTTTCTAATGTCTCAGTCATTGATTCACTTGGCGTATGTATAGAAGAGCCTGCGGGATTATCAAGTCCAATTCTAGGTACTAGAGATACAGCAGCAAACAAAAATGCCCAACCCCAGTGGGATAGACAGATGGTGATCAGAGAGATAAGAGTAATAAAGCAGGGTCAGGGGAAACATTCATTGGAGGATTTTGAATAGAGTTCTAACTTGTATTTAGATCTGATATTTAATTTGTGTTCTAGGCACAGCAGCTGCACAGAAAAGATGGGAGAGGAGGCCAATGATGACAAGAAGCCAACAACTAAATTTGAACTAGAGCGAGAAACAGAACTTCGCTTTGAGGTGGAAGCATCTCAGTCAGTTCAGTTGGAGCTGCTGGCTGGCATGGCAGAAATCTTTGGCACAGAGCTGACCCGAAATAAGAAATTCACCTTTGATGCTGGTGCCAAGGTAGCTGTTTTCACTTGGCATGGCTGTTCTGTACAGCTGAGTGGCCGCACCGAGGTGGCTTATGTCTCCAAGGACACCCCTATGTTGCTTTATCTCAACACTCATACAGCTTTGGAGCAGATGCGGAGGCAGGCGGAAAAGGAAGAAGAGCGAGGCCCCCGAGTGATGGTAGTGGGCCCCACTGATGTGGGCAAGTCCACAGTGTGTCGTCTCTTGCTCAACTACGCAGTGCGTTTGGGCCGCCGTCCCACTTATGTGGAGCTGGATGTGGGCCAGGGCTCTGTGTCTATCCCAGGCACCATGGGGGCCCTCTACATTGAGCGGCCAGCAGATGTTGAAGAAGGATTCTCCATCCAAGCCCCTCTGGTATATCATTTTGGCTCCACCACTCCTGGCACCAACATCAAGCTTTATAATAAGGTCAGAGCCAGAGCCAAAGTGGGGTTGAGGGTAGGGTTGCTACCAGGGTAGGATTGCTACCAGGGTAGGAAGGTATGCAGAAGTTTGTTAGTTAAAACTGTCTATAGTTGTCTTTTTGCTCTCATCTGGTATAATAGCTGTATGATCTTGGAACAGACAGTTTTAAATATGTCAATCTCAGATTGTTAAATGTTTCTGTGGACCTATTATTTATTAAATT